TCTGAGTAAACATGCATAGGATTGGGCTGTAAAGCACATTAGAAGTAGAATGACTCTTTCCACCATACATATGCAAGCCTGAGATGAAAAGTGTGTTAAGGAATAACCTGTGTTAAAATGTGTCAGTTACAAGTGCAACCTTACACAGAGTTACTCCAGTCTACATCAAAGATTTCAGTGGGCTTAGAATGAAGTAACTCTGCATGGGACAGCACTGTTAATGGCTTAAGATGCATGGGAATACAGATAGAAAATCCTGTGCGTATTTTTTGCTGGGGGGGGGGGACTTCTAATGTGAAAAACATATTACATTCGAAAGTAATGTTAGAAGAAGTTCATGTCATGTGATCTCTGGTAAGGCAGAAATTCTCTTTGTCTACTCGTTATTCTACATAACTAACCAAAAACTTCTAACATTACATGCTTAGCTGGTCCAGGGAAGATCAGAGGTCACTGCCATAATGAAGTGTTAAAACCACTGCTTGAGCCGAATTTCATGTTGGGGAGATCACTATTATGGTGCCTTATTTCAAGGATATTGTATGAAGCCAGCGTAAATGTATAGGCCAGCCCATAAAAATTTAAGACCAAGGAAAACATCAATATTTTTACAACAGGTCAGATCACTTTTTCAGTGCAGAGTGTCGGATTAGAAACAAGAGCTCAGTTGTACATTACTTACATGCAGCAACCACACTTTGGATAGGATTTGCATGAATGCCAGCCCACAGCTGGAGAACAAAATTGTCATTGTGGAATATTTGTGCAATTGCTGATGTGACAGTAAAAAATGGTAAGGATGTTTGGATCCTGTCACTGCCGAGAGACTAAAGTTTCAGTTTTTAAGGCTCAGCAATGAAACTGATTACACTGTAGTGTGACTCTCCAGGTCATACCGGCACCCCATTTCAAATTGTATACCTCGATGAACTCTAGAAATACACTTTAAATGTTAGCATTCTGAGATTTATTGAGATTCATTTTAAACAATATGTTCAGGCTTCATAAAGAGCTCAGGGCTGCAGGCTGTGTGTGAGTTATTGCTTAGGAGAGGATTTATTCGAAAGGAATGATGTTTGGTAACAGTAATATATTCCCTTTAATAGTAAACTTTGTTGCCCTGTTCCAGAAATCCCAAGCATCACAAGGGGATCTACCAACTAAGAAAACGGAGATTTCTGCAGATCTTTGTAACACTCCACTGTGCAGGAAAACTTTAAGATTCATGAAAACGAAGAGACTCAAGAAAATTCAAATATTCATTTTAAGCCGGTCAGTTTTTTATGTCCTGGCTGGCTTCTTAGGACTGGATTTAAACAAATTGTGTGTTTTCTATATTGTATTTTGTAAGATGCCTCGGGCATGTGGTTTGGAGATGTGGCAGAGAAATTTTCTACATAAAAAATAAAATATGACCTTCACCCTCCACCCCAAAGTGGGAGGGCATCAGAATAAGAACTGCACACACATCTTGAGCCAGTGCGGTATAGTGAATAAGAGTGTTAAACTAGGATCTGGGAGACACGGGTTCGAATCCCCATTCATGCCGGTCATAATCTATCAGCCTAACCTACCTCATAGGGTAGCTGTGAGGATAAAATGGAAGAGAGGCAAATGATGTAAGTTGCTTTGGGTCCCCATCGGGGATAAAGGTGGGGTATAAATGAAACAAATAAATTAATTAATCTTTCCCTCATGTCATTATGTAACCTGTGGCAGCACGCAAGTGTGCACTCTGCTCAGTATCAGTTAAATTTATTTATATATTTACATAGTTTGTAAGTCTGTTGTGGCATTGTATGTTTGGTTGGTTGATATGGGTCTTGTTATCTCTCTGTTCCTATTCTTGGTGTTGTGTGTATGAGCTCAGCCCTCAGGCCTTTTCTATTTAGGAAGGAAGAGCCCACACTTAATAGAACGTCACTGTCCTCTAACTGGCAGTGTGTCAGACTGAATATTGGAGGACTAACCCACTCTGCCCCATCACCAAGCAAATTTAAGTAACCCAGAGAGGCTGAAGACTTGATTATGAACGGGTCTGGTAACATTTGCTAATTTACTGGATGATAGCCACATGGGAGGTAAATAGCTGGTGCTGATTACACCTGCCTCTGGTGTGCTGTGGAGAACCCTTGCCATTCCTCTGCCCTGATATTTAGCCTGTTATAACCTTATCCACTTGTATATACCAAGGAATAGTATGAGGGAAAGGGAACCCATAACTTTATTTCCATGAGGGGGAGAAGAAAGCTTTGGTGTTCAGTAATAAAGTATATACAATTGTAGCTGTAGGGTAGACTTAACTTGGGGAAACAGTGTCACCAATGGAAAAACTCCGGTGGGTAGCCATGTTGGTCTGAAGCAGCAGTACAAAGCATCTTTAAGACCAACAAAGTTTTATTAATGGCATAAGCTTTTGAGTGCATGCACACTTCTTCAGATACAGTGTTACTGAGTTTTTTTAAAAAAAAAAATATTCCAGAAACTGCCAGATTACCGTATGAGGGTTAAACCGATATATTTCTCTCAAGTCTTCCAACCAAGTTTAAGATTTCTCGTGCTTTTATCACATAGAGTTTCTCCTGCCTCTTAGATTCCCTCTAACCAGAAATACTACATTTGAGGGCTTACAAATCAGTATGCGCCCTTCCAGGCCACTGTACTACTCCTGGAGACTGATTATAAGATAACTGCCTGTCAGAAGATCTAGAATAAGTTTTCACAACCTGTGGGTCCTAATCCAAACGGGTATCAAAGCCTGTGAAAATAGGTCGAAGACTTTTGCAGTTTTGTTGATTTTTGCATGCTGCATTTTTAAGGGGATCTCCAAAAGGTTTGAAACCACTGGTGTATACCCTATCTGAGGAGATTGACAGTTAAATGATCCTTTTCTTCCACCAACTTTCCCTCCTTTCTCCCTCTGAAGGCCAGCACGAAAAGGGAATTGGCTGATAATCTTTTCTCTCTGAGACCCAAGGTGGATTATAAAACCAATTAAATCATCCTGCAACCTAGTGGGGGGCAGGGAAAGAACCCTATTGGGCGGAGGGGAGGGTGTCATTGCAGAAGAGGCTCTTTCTCTACCCCCTAATCCAGAGCTAAAGGGCAAATCACTATGTGGCTGATTTCCCCAGCTTTGGTATTCTTTCCTAGTCTCAAAAATGGCAACCCGCCTATTCAGCTCCCTAAACTGTGAAATTCAGCCCTATGTAAGGTAACTGTTCCATAGGGCTGGGACTGGAGGCAGGTAAAAAAATCAAGTTTAGTACATTCTGCAATATTTTATTTTTGGTTTCCAGAACACTTGCAACTTACTCATCCCCCATCCTGTGCAGTACGGCAGTTTTCCTGTACATCTGCCCACCTGAGGTTCGGGGCCTAGAACACATGTGGATTCTTCCTCCCTCCCAATGATGATAGTCAGTGTTTAAATTTTACTAAGGCTGCAAAATTATGCATCTTACTTAGGAGTGAGCCACACTGAATTCAGCAGAACTTACTTCTGCATGGAGTTAGACTACTTACATTTTTTGTTACAGTTTTGTTTAAAAGGTGGAGGGTGGCCACTTTATAATGTCCTTGAAATGGGGCTGACCTACATTGTATAGAAATGTAGGCACACCTCTTAGTTACCTAAGGGCCTCAGTGATTCAGTTACCATGGCTACACAGAGACATGTAATTTAATGCTTGTTTTGTAGTGGTCCATTCTGCTGGCAACATCCGATGACTCAAATCTTTGTTTCCTTTGCAGCGAACACAAATCCAAACTGTCTACCAACAACCTGTTCAGATAGTTTCCTGTGAGAGACCGGAAACCAGGCCTGCTTCCTTTCCACAAGCTAGGAGAGGAAGGGCATAGCAAACACACTTCCTGAACACACTCCTCGTCCACCCTTTCTCTGACAGCAGTGGAAGAATGATGTGGAAGAAATATGACGGGAAAGATAACCCAGGGTTCATTTCTTCAGGGGGCCTCATTGCTGCAGGGCACATCTTGCACAGGAGGTGTCTTGAGTTGCAAAGAGGAATCCTGATAAGGGACAAGTGCTGGTTTGCCAAACCAAAACCCTAGCCAAAAGGGCAGGCAGAACAAAGCTTCTGAAGTACAAGTTTATCTTGGTTTTATGCTTGGTGAGAAGAATCATCCCTGCCATGGGGCTTCGGAAGTTGTGCTTGTGTCCCCCCCCCCCCCAAACAACTAATTAGCACAGGCAAGTTGCCAAAGCGAGGCAGGAGGAGACACTTCTTGGGCACGGCTGTCCCACTCTGATTTTTATGCTGCTGTCACTTTTCCATTCTGCTATCACCGGACGCTGGCATTTCTCAACCTAGTTCATTTGCTTTCTGTGGTATAATCATATGCAATGAAGATATGCATGGCCAACATTTAAACAGGCTGCAGATCAATTAGTGGTCTTAAGTTTATCTGATTTTTATCAAAGAAGACAGAGCTGTGGGTCGATTGTCAGAGCCCGTGTCAAGATGACCTTTTCAGAGACGTCTACATTGCTGGTCCCCTGGGCAACTTGTTGTCCCCTGTTAGGCTCTGAATGACAGAAGTCTGTTCTGCTCAAGCACAAAGTATACACAGATGTCTATATTACATTCTTATGGGTTTGACAGCAACTGCATGTTGTATCTATAAACTGTCCTTTAGCAGTGACACTTCCTCAATGATGATAAGCTAATTTATGCAGCTAAATCTCCTTTGTGAAGAAATGAAAGCTAATTGAGTCATTACAAAGTAATTCAGGAAGGAATACCTTGTATAAATTGGCTTACTTTATAAATCCTTCTCAAGTGGTTTTCATGCATCCTAAATGGTGCTAAACAGTCCCCCCCACTCCTTCTTTTTTGCTACCGTAAGAAATCAGTTGAAATGTATATTAGACACATGCAAACTTTTTGGAACTTGAAACCTTTTGTTTGTGCTTTGGGAGGAGGAAAACATGGGTAAAGCCACAGAGTCAAAACGAAAGGCAAAAAAACGCCAGGTACCTGAAACATTGGCAATATTCTCTGGGCTCAATTTCTTCCGTTCTTCAGTCTTCGCTGGCACCTTGGCTTCTTCCTCTTCTTCTGCAGACACAAGCAATATGTTGTGGAAAGCATGTTAGTCAACAAGACTTATAACCCAGAACACTTTAGAAAACACAGAGGGCAATTTACAGCGTAAATTGTGTCTGTCAGAGAGACCAAGTATTTCACACACAGACAGCCATAGAGAGGGCAGAAAATTTCCTCCTCTAAAAAATTTCCTTGGTTTTGATCTGCTAATGAGCCCACCTCAGTTCTTCAAAGAGATTCTTGGGTCATTATAATGTCTTGCAATTGACTGCATCCATTCTTGTGCTAGTTTCTTAATATACTAAGATTCTCATAACATTAATTTTCTGCAGCGTTTTCACATGTTTATTTTTTTAATGCATATGCTGCTCCCTCAGCCAGAAACCGATTCCCAAGGTAGTTAACAAATCATTTGAAGACCCCAATTAAAATACCATAATACCCACAGTTAAAACCCCACTCCCTATCTACAAAACAAATAGAATCAGTGATAAACAGCAACAATTTAAAATAGATGTATCCATTAAAATGGGAAAGCAGCAGAGCTAAAAAAAATTCAGCAGAGAACAGATAAACAAAACAGGGCTTCAAAGTGGCGGTGGGGGAAAGCAACAACAACACAAGCCTGGGAGGGAAAGTAAGTCTTTACCAGATGCTTGGGGGGGGGGAACACACCACAAATCTAGTGCCAGGTGCACATGAAGAGGGCCACTGCTCCAGAGTTGGGCTGCCATGAATGAAAAGGCCGTATTCCTAGTTAATGACGACCTCACCTCACATGAAGCGGGGCAGTGGAGCAGGATCCCAAAGAGTAGGCAGAAACATAAGGATGTTGCCACATTTTTTAAAAAAGGGATGTTGCCATATCAGCACCATTTAATTTAAATTCATTTTACATGGTTAGACACATGGCACATTGTGGAAACCAGCCATCATATACATTGCTCGGGCCCAATCCATGCATTATTCAAGCAGTTTTGTAACTGTGACTGTACCCCACTCCATTCTAAATCCAGTTGACACCATGAAATCACATGGGAGGTCCAGAATGCATGGGAAACTCCCAGAACAGTGATGTACCTCCCTGGCATTCAGCATCCCTGGTATGACCACTTCCATCAACTGCTAACCCCAGCCACAACTACTCCTTAAGGGCAACCCATCTAGAGACTGTTGCAATATCAATCCTTGAAGGCATTATGGAATAGACAGTAATTACTAGGTTACCTGCTTTCCAGTTACAGTAACTGTATGTATGTAAAAGGTATAACTGGATACAGAGATATGTAAAGCACGTATCCAGGTACTTAGGTGTAAGAATATCTCTTCACTCAGAAATCTCAAGGAGACCTTAAACCAGCAGTTAGGAAGCCCCCGGCATACATAAGAAACAGTGTTCACCACACAAGACTGGTTCTCCATCCAAAGCAAACCTAGCACTACCTTTTTCTTGCCTGAACACCAAACATCTTCAGAGGCAGACCTTGCGTCTTTTTTGGCAATGAGGCTAAAAAAAGTTGCCCACACCGACCTAATCACCACAATCATTGTGGCCCTTATTCCGTTTCTTCAATTTCCCCCCCATTGAATCACAGCTACCAGGCATTGATTCAGGGTAGAGGCTATTGTCCCTGAGTTGACAGAGGATGGAAAATGGAGTCAGCCACCAAATGCTGTTACCTCCATTAGGAATTAGCTGGAGTTTAACTGACACAGAGTAAATGTCCCATTGGCAACAAGAAGAAAGATGACAGGGATAAAATCAGTTGAGGCAACAGTAGTTAAACTCGTGATACATGGCTGCATGCTGCTTTTGAAATGAATGCAATGGTAGGGCCAGTGTGTAGAATTTGGATGAAGCTCACGGAGTACATTTGAAGAAGGTCATCATCATGCACCTTAGCCAACAAGGCAGGGGTTCTACACAGGTAAATTGGGATCATTCATACATGTGCATGCGTGTGTGTGTTGGAGCATCCAGAAACAGTCTCAGCATTACATTCTCATTACATTATACTGAGAAATTATTTCTAAGCATGCAGCCAAAGACAAACCTTTGCCACTAAATATTTTTAAACAATTGCATCAAAGCGGTCAATGTAATACCACCACTGGTTCTCATAAGCTGCCTGCTCCCCAGGACTGGAAAGAATAAGCAATGCAATATTTTGAGTTTAACTTTAATTAACTGAGAATGCTAACCAACCCAAATAACCCTTGTCTTCTTTGCTCAAGGCCTCTCACCAACAATCTTTCAAAAAGCCCACCCTTTTGGAATCTGCATAGCCGAGAATACAGCAGCAGCAGCATGCATGGTGCTTTACAAAGTAACAGAAGCAGCATGCATGCATAACACAGAAAGAGACAAATTGACGTCTCAAGGACTTTTATAATCTAGATTTTCACAGTGGTTAGATAAGGATAACGTAACATAAAAAGAGTAAAGTGTCACCTTAAAAGGCAAACAGATTGTGGAATAAGCTTGCATGGAGTGGAACCCACTTCAGATGCATGGAGTGTACCCTCATGTGCAAACAGATACACACACTGAGATACGGAGAAGGGATTAAAAAACCTTGTAAACAGTGAAGCCTGATGGTTATTAAATGCAAGTAGGTTGAAAGTCTGTGACATTTCTATGCAAAGGTCTAATGTATCTATGCAAAGTGAGGTGTAGTGGTTAGAGTTTTGGTCTAGGGTCTGTATGACCCAGGTTCGAATCCCCATTCTGCCATGGAAGCTTACTGTATGACCTTGGGCCAGTCACACAGTCTCAGCCTAACCTACCTCATATGGTTGTTTGTGAAGATAAAATGAGGACAACAGTGTAAGCTGCTTTGGGTCTCCACTGGGGAGAAAGACTGGGCACAAACGAAGTAGACAGACATGAAGTAAGCACAGCAACTTGTATTCCCTTCCACAGCTTTATTGCGTCACATTACATTTTCCCTCCCTAAATTAATTCTCTCCCCAAATAGATCCCCCCAAATCCACTGTTCCCTTCTAATGCCCTTCAAGCAAAGAAAAGCTGTCCCCACTTCTCTAATTTATGACTGACAGCTGGGTCTCTCTTACGTTTTTCACCCATAGCAGCCTGATCCTTTGCACAGAGCATCCAAACACAAGTAATATACACAAGTAATATACAATATTCTTCCCCACAAACCAGGATTCTAAATCACAGTGTAATCCTAGTTCAGAATACCACTTTGTGGGGAGGAAAATGATTTACTCAGGGACAGGGGTCATTTCCTGCAGGAGCGCACAGGAGCAGAGCTCCGGCAGTAAAGATCCCTGGGGGCGGGCTCATGCAACAAGCCCCACCCCCTGCTCCCAGCAGCCCTCAGTCAGAGCAAGAAGCAGCCAGGTAAGTTGCAGAGCTCCCCCCAGCCCAAAACCATCCAGTGGCACCTTTAAGACCAAGTTTTATTCAGGCACAAGCTCTCCCTCCTCTGCGAGGACAGATCTGCACGTCCCCCCCCCCAATAGCTAGCAATCCCAAACAGTCCAGTGGAGCCTGAGCGGTGGGTGTTGCCTTCTGACACACTTCCGGTGATGTCAGGGGGTGTGGAACATGCAAATAAGTTATGCTAATGAGTTATGCTAAAGAGCTCCTGCACCTCTTTTTCTACGAAATGACCCCTGCTCAGGGAGCCAGAGCTGGAGTTCAACTGAAGGCTTCCCAGACCAACTTATTGTCTCCTGAAATCAATGTTCCATTAGGATTACTTATTTTTTAAAATATGTTGTTTATTTCTTATTGCTTTGGTTGTCCTGAAGGGATACAGGCTAGATTAATATAAAAATTTGCAGAAGACAGGCTTTCCATAAGTGCTTCTGCCACAAAATGGGTAATCCCAAAGATAACATACGTAAAGCCAGCAATTCCACCTCACCCCGCCTTCCAATGTTCTAGCATTCATTACTAAGATGTCTCCATTAGCCCTTATTAATAGCACCGTTAGTATCTAGCACTCCATTGTACTGGATTAGTTAAGAGACACAATGTCATTGTACAATATTAATTAATATCTCAGATAACAACAGTTTGTGGGTTAATATATTCTACTCAATACTTTAATAACAGTAAACAAAAACAGCTGAGCTATGCAGTAAAATCCATCAAACCCCACAGATGGTTATAAGGTTTTCATTATGTGGTTTCCATAGCAATCATATTGCAAATCTGGAAGCTGCTTGCAAATAAGCAGCTTGTATTTACATGCCTTTCAAGCTGCACCATGGAACTCTTCGACAAGTGATGTTATTATTCCAATCACATCATGTCCAAAGGAGCTGCTGGGATACGTTTTGATCAGTCAAGATTGCCAGAGTTTTTAAAAAGCTGTTTTGCCACCCAATGTTGAAAAGAAGATGAGCAGGATAGCTCTCCAAAGGGTGAGGCACGAAAGTAGAGAGGAGGTGTTTAACCACTTGTACCATGATGATCTGGCTTGTCATGGGAAAAGGTTGCTAATCCCCTGTGCCTTAATTCCGCACCATAATGCCCCAACCTTTTTTTCCCACCCCAATCCTCTGCTTCAGTGGCTTGGTGCGAGAAACAGCCCTTGCTCCCAAGCTGAGCAGTGACTGAAAATGCTTCTCTACGTTGCATTTGTGACACTTCCCAGAACCCGTCCTTGGGTAACTCAGGCTCATACTGGCCAAAGATTAAGGGAGTTCTCCCACCTGGCCTAATAACGTCAAAATGGGCAAGGCTGAAGCTTAATAAAGAAGTGTAGAAGTTTTCAAGAAACATGTGGTGACTGAGCAAAAACAACCATATTTTCAAAATTCTGTACTGCCTTTCAAGGACAACAGCTATTCTTCAATGTTCATCTTGGTGAACTCTTAAACAACAATTCTCTGAAATCATAAAGCCGAAGTCATCTTCTTATTTTTAAATTCTATCCAGATACCCTTCAGAAATCCATGCAATAATCTTTGTAACAATGCTAATGAATTCCCAGTATTCATTTACAAAATTTATACCCTGTCTTTCTGCCCTCATC